TACCCTGGGCCTAAGCCATGGAGCGCTTTAAAGGTCATAAGTAGTACCTTGAATTGCACCTGAAAAACAACTGGCAACCAGTGCAGATCGCCTAAAAGGGCCGTAACATGGGAGCACCTAGGTACCCCCATGATAACCTGCGCGGCCGGATTCTGGACCAGCTGAAGCCTCCGGGTGCTCTTCAAGGGCAGCCCCATGTAGAGAGCATTGCAGTAGTCCAGGTGAGAAAGGACACCTTGACTCCATTTGCTGTGGTGGTTGTGGATTCACCCAGATTTTGGTGCTGGGTGATTTTAATCTTGGAGGCAGTTTAGGAGTACATGAGGACCCTTAATTTGTCCCAGGTCATTCCTGGCGTGTTAGTCATACATTAGATCTGGATTGTATCTCAGAACTGATGAAAGCCCATCTAGTATTGGACAAGTCTCTTCCTGCTGATCATAGGGTTAACTACACCCATAGATTTCACAGGGAGGAAAGGCCAATTAACATGGCTAATTTAGGCACCTGATGGATCTGGAAAATTTCTAGTCAATGCTAAAGGATTTCACCAGTCTGGAATGCAGAGGCAATCACATCACTATGATGTGACTGGTCCTGAGCAGCCTCTTCTCAAGTGGCTCCTTGGTTTTCTGAAGAGCTCCAAGAAATGAAGTGGGTAAAGAGATGCTGCAGGATGCAGGGAATAGGAAAATGGCATAGTAAAAAATAAATAAATCAGTGCAGAAAAGAGCTTGGCAAGCTGCTTGAACTGATATGGGCAAACTGGAAATTGCCTCAAACATCACCGCCTTTTGTAATTTTCAAAGAGAGCCAATGTCATGGAAAATAACTAGAAAACAACTTTCTGTGGTTAATGATGAGGGACCTTTTTGTTTCCAAAGAACACAGAGTTCACAATCTTTTTAAATGGCAACAAAGAAAAAAACCTGTTCCATAGCATGAATACCATGACAGAATTTGCCTTGTATTATGGAAAATAAAATTGGAGGGGGGGGGAGTATGTAAATCACAGACATCTGATTTTCATTCATTCTCTTTTTTTGGGTCTTTACTCCTTCTCCCTTTTATCATCTGTTTGGAACATTTGAGATACAATAAAAAAATAAGCAAGGAAAATAACCTGATTCTCTGCTGAAGCTGGATTCTTCCAGCCCTATATCGGAAACATCAAGCGGGTTTGAAATTGGACTCAGTCTGGATAATTCAAGCTTTTCCAAGTCTGACAGACAAATCTTTTTCTTCTGGATGATCTCACGTTGGATTTGCTCTAGGGTGGGGTTTGAACCTTCTCCAGAAATAGTAAGACCTGTTCCTCTTGAAAGTGGATTTAGACAAGGCTCTCCCTTAGAGTGACCACTCCAAATTGTTTGGTCCTGTGCCATGATCTCAGGTGATCTTCTGCTTCCATCAATCTGAAAAGCTGAATCAGCCTTGGGAACAGAGTCAGTTGGCTTCTCAACTCCCACAAGAGAGGAGCTTATTATACCAGCACCTTCCTTTTCTGATGGAAATAGGCTGGGGCCTTCACTACCTTTTTTCCGAAGTGATTCAGGCTGGCATTCTGGCAGCTGATCTACAAAGGGAGACTTAAGCTCATCCAGGCTTGGCCAATGTGGATTTTTTACCACCCTCTTTTCTTCAGTAGTCAAGTCTAAAATGTTTTTGCCTGGTGGACTGTCCGGATAGGATGAATCCTGCAGAAACGAAATACAACAAGTTTGCAAATGAGTTGCAAGTATATAAAAACTTAGAACTAAGGAGGAATTTCCTGACAGCTAGAACTATTAATCAGTGAACCAACTTGCCTCCAGAGGTTGTGAATGCCCCAACACTGGAGGTTTTTAAAAAGTTGTTGGCTAACCATTTGTCTGAAGTGGTGTAGGTTTCCTGCCTAGGCAGGGGGTTGGACTAGAAGACCCCCAAGGTCCCTTGCAACTCTGTTAGTCTATTCTATTCTAAAACATCCGAACAGTCTATCAAATTGATATTCAAGTTCTCAAAATAGCCAAGCATGTTCTGAACAGAAAACCTATAAGATACCATTGCCCATTAATGCAACAGTATCTGCATATTTCCAGCAACTAAAGTAACTGTGGTGTTGAGATTTAAATCTTGACCTAGGCTTGAGGAGAGTCTCAGGCCTGGTCATTCTTCTTGATCCAGAGTTAATGCCATATGGAAAAATAGAAGGAGGAAGTGTTATTGATGCTGTTTGAGCTTCCTGAATTAAAGGGGAGGTATAACTCAAAGAAGTAATATGGAGAGACACACTGCTTCCAAAACTATAGCTAATAAATAAATAGAAATAAATAATATGATAAACAGCATACATCGTGATAAATAAAACCACTGAGAACATTAATTTCCAGGCATCTGTTAATCTCTTTGTTATAACCACTGTGGTACAGCAGTCAAAGACTTGATCATATCCTACATGAAGCATTTCCCATCTTACATGACCAGAATCAGCCAGTGATCAGATTTATTGAAAATCTACAGGTGCTGGCAGCAATGGCAAAAATATGTATCTGTTTGTATGGCAAGAAGCACCTCCCTCACCCCAAAAAAATTAAACATAAAATATTTCAAGATGAAAAGAAACGAGGATTGCAAGTGCCTGGTCTGAAATTGTATTTCGCAGCTTGCTTCTTAGTTTGGATAATAGTGTCGATTCTGTTGAGAAATACTGTATTTTTCTGACTATAGCATGCACCGGTGTATAAGACGCACCAAAATTTCGAAGAGATAAATAAGAAAAAAACCCTTTTTGTTCTCCCCAGCTCCCAGGAGCACTGCAGGCTTCAGCAGGGCTCGGGGAAGGCAAAAATACCGCCAACTTTTGCAAAAATGGTCACCCAACCCTGCTGAAGCCTGCAGAGTGCTCCTGGGGGAAGGCAAAAACTCCCCCCCCCCAACCTGGCATCCCTCACTAAAGGGATGTCAGGGAAGGGAAGCAGGCAGGCAGCCGTTACCATTGTGGGGGGGGGGTTCTTTTTGCGTAGGAGGGAATGGGGTGCGAGGCGAGTTGCTGGCCTGCCACCTCCCCCCCCCCATGGTAAAGGCAGCCTGCCTGGTTCCCTTCCCCACTATCCCTTTAGCGAGGGGTGGCAGGTTGTGGGGGGAGAAGTAAGACGCGTGTCCTAATGCTACCAGAGACTGACAGCTCCACTGCATTCTTTGCCGTTTCGTCTAGGCAAACCCCTTGTAAAAATAACCTTGCAAGTTAAACTCATGAGGTTTCTTTTACAAAGGGCTTCCCTGGGTGAAAGGGCAAGGAATGCAGCAGAGTTGTCAGTCTATGGTAGCACTAGGACGCGCGCCTTGTGTTCCCCCCCTCCCCAACCTGCCACCCTCTACATTGGTAAAAGTTGCTAGAAATAAGTCTTTGTGAGACTTACTCACAAACTCACTTTGTGAGACTTTCTCATCCAAACAAATGAGAAAATGGGGGGAGGGAAACAAAGGCAGAGGAAAGAGAGAGAAATTGTGGGCCGGCTGCCAGCAGAACATACAAGCATAGAGCGTTCACCCAGAGCAGCCACTGCTGGAAGACTCGGCAGCCTACTTCCTTCAGAAAAAGCCATGCTGGGATGCTGGCAGCAGGGGCGGAAGTGCCCTGGCTCTGCAGGGAGAGCTGGGCCAGGGCATAGTGGGGCTGGGAGGTGCACGATCGGGGAGCAGAACAGCCATCCGGCAAACCCCTCTCTCACATGGGCACATTGCTGCTCACCGACCTAGCGGTATCCCAAAGGCACCAAGCAATGCAAGCACCTTTGTGGCTCCACCCCCCCCCCCAATTCCTGCAACTTGATGCCTTCGGGATACCACTAGGTTGATGAGTTGTGCTCTGCCTGGCCAGAGGGGGGGTTGTCCAGGGGGCTTATTTTCAGGGGGGCTTATATTTTTGCCCACCTGAAAAATGTGGCATGGCCTTAGTTTCAGGACATGTCATATTTTCAGGAAAACACGGTGTGTGTGTGTATTTGTGTATGTATAACAGCAAAATTAATTTGTTTTGATTAGAGAAACATCAACAATTAGATTTATGGATATTGGGAACTCCTCAGTTTTTGCTGAAAAAAAAGAAAAGAATTTGTTATTTATATGTTTGCAGATTAGAAGGGGGGAGGCTTATAAAAAGAAGAGTGTTATGATGTAACTTTAAAGAGAGAGAAGGACAAATATACATATATTTATAACTGCTAGCAAGATCAGAAGCTGCTTCTTTACTAATCTTTTTCATTCCCAATTCTATTTTCTTTCCCCCCTCACTATTATTTTTCTTTATTATCTTTATTTTCTTTTAGGCTATTTACTTGGTTAAAAACACTCTTCAAAAAAATAATTATTTAAAAAAAACATTTAAAAATATAAAAACTCTGAATTTGAAGTCAGTTTCCCATCATTCTGATTGTTCTTTCTTGCACCTTTTACAGAGGAAGAGAAAACAGTATTATAATTGTTCCTCTCAGCTTTGAATGAAAGTAGGAGCAGTGTCTTGCAAAACGGGATTCATCTCTGCATGCAAATAAAAGAAGTATGGTTTGCTTTTACAGATGAGAGTAATATGCTACATTTTGTTCTTACATTGATTCCAGTTTAGGAAATGAAGCCATGGTTCCCAGTTCTTATATAATGTTATGCTTGCTGTCCAAGTTTGTTTAATCACACCCACAAGAAAGTGGAACCAAGCATGGGCAAACAAGCCGTAAACTGCTTGTCACAATAAATTAACATTCAAAACTTACAGCAGTGTTCAAACACAATCATGTCTTTTGACGGGTGGGAGGGAGAGACACAATGATCGGAAGAATAGTAGAGTGCTGTAAAGGGATTATAATGCCAGCTAATTTGTTTTGATTTTTTTCCTTACAGATTACCTCCCCCCCCCCCAAAAACCATCGGTTTTACTTTGGTTTTACACACATAATCAATTTCCTGATCAATGACTCCCAACTGAGATTATGTTCAGAATAGGTGGGAAATTAGTTTTGTGTTGCCCAAGATGCATATGGCATACATCTGCTTATATTACATCATATTTTCCATTGCATTCCATTGTCTAAAGATATTGTTCTAAAGCACTTT